TCCCATATTTTCTGTAACATGGCCGTCTGGCCCTCTGGCTTTTGTCGTGCCAACTTTGACACAATCCAAAAATGGTGGCCTCAAGTTCAGAGGGGCTGTGATCTTTGAGAGACGTGTGTGGCATATTGTGTCGTCTAACGTACACCAGAGAATTAGAGTCTTAGTAATGGATGAGAAATGTTGAGCTGTAAGCATATATATCGTCATAACGAGACGACGTGCAAGCTAGGACACAAATGACGTAGACTTTCAAAAGGAGGAAAATGCAGACCATAAGATAACCATGGGCCAAGGTGTGGGCGATCCTCCCCAAGAGTTGACGCGGAATCACATCACATGTTGCTCAAAGGAGCATCTCTGCAATCTGGACCGCATTCAACGCAGCGCCCTTCCGAACCTGGTCGCCACACACAAAGATGTCAAGCCTGCACCGAAAGCCAAAAGTCACACCACAAGGACGGCGGCAAAAACAATTGCGAGTGCGTTAGAACTTAGAAGATAACGCAGGTGTCGCCTTAAGATGAGCTCAACGAGCGCAGAAATCTTTTTTTTTTTTTTTTTCCAGAAAGAGCAGAAATCTTGTGCGGAGAAGAAAGGCAAAAGGTTGGGCAAAAAATAAAAATAAAAATAAAAATAAAAATAGAAAGCATGTACAACAGGAAAGCGTTCGAAAAACGCATCCTGGATATGCCGGACATCAGGCCCACTGGCAGAGACAGCTTAAGCCATACTCGCACTTGCTCTGCCGTGAAAGTCCTCGTGTATGTGAACTCTTCCACCTCTCTTTCCAAAGCATGATTCTCTCCTCTGCGCCTTCTGCCGTCTCTACTCAGACATACGCCACATACAAGGACCTTGTGCTTGACTATTGCAATGCCATGCTTAGTCCTATTATTATATAAATAACAGAGACTTCTTTCTTTTTGAAAACACCAAATTGACCCCGCTAGTGATGGTGAAACTACCACCCACCACTAGCAGGCCATCTGTTGGCTCCGATCTATTGGTGGGGAGCAATACCTGCTTGAAATCGGGTGCAGCGACCCTTGTGTGTTCATTTCCTATGTCTTGTCCTGTGGCCAGGCTTCAAACTTAAACCACCAGTACTTGGCCCAGCTATCGGCCGCGGCGCTTCACCATTAACACGCCGTGCCTTTAGGGCTTCGGGTACCAGACCACAATGACTGGAAACGCCAGCCAAAGAAAAATTGAAACAGTAACCCAGCGCTTCGGCAAAAATTGGGGCGCAGGGGCATTCCAGAATCGGCATCAATAGCTGGGCCAAGTACTGGTGGTTTAACGCCTTTGGGACGTCAAATGGTGGACGAGTACATAAATAAAATAAGCTTCTTACCTCTTTGGTTGTGGCGGGTGTGCATGGAGTCCTTCGGATGCAATCGACAACAGGGGGAAGCTACAATGATTACATTGGCATAAAAAGAGACTTAGCCACCTGCAAGGTCCACAAGGCATTGAGGCAAACGTCGACCAGTGCTAGCCTCCAGGGTTCCCACCTGACAGTGATTGACCAGCCCGTTTTGCCTGGATGCACGTCTCGCTATCATTTGTAACCTTCGATTACATGGCTTATGTCTTAAACCACCAGCACTTGTCCCAGCTATCGGCCGTGGAAGAGTAGAAACGTTTCTAGTCGGATGAATTTGGGCGCTCCTAGTGTGGCCTGTACGTTTCCTAAAACAGTGGCTTGTTAACGGGCATGCCTTTAGGAAGTACTGGTGCTTTAATATCATGTCATTCAGCCACTACGTAATCGACCAACCGGCACGCCGGTACATCCCACCAGGCACGGGGATGCACACCCGCGTCGAAGAAAATTTGCTGCTGAACATGCTATGCGGTTTAATTTGACAGCTCACAAAAATACATACCGAGCGAAACTTGCACAAGTCGGAGAGGATGATCTCAAGGCCAGTATTGATGAGAGCTAGACCGTTTCCGCATTTTACAGCTAAGATCGGAGTCAGTCCCTCTTACGATGGGAGCAATCAATGCTGCTGCCAATTGGTCCTCTGCCGTTATGCATTAAATGTATACCGACTCTGTGTGCCCGGGGATCGGAATAGCAACAACCTTCTAAGCTGAAGGTCACATGTTCAAATCCTGTACAGCGCGGACTTCTTTAGGAGGGTTGCCGAGTGGTCGAAAGAAGCAAACTTAATCAGTTGACTACCTTCTTCCCCGAATACAACGTATGGTCATTATAGCTGTATTTGAGGCATCTTTCAGTCTAGATACAGCTATAAAGACCGTACACTGTATTGGGCGGAAGAAGGTAGAGCCACCGTGCACCCTCAAGGGCCCTTTATGCTTTTTGTCCTCTCCATTCAGAGATGAGCTACATTCGAGTTGACGGTCCCAGGTTCAAATCCCGCAGGATGGTAAACTCTTTTTTTTTTTTTTTTTTTTTTTTCCGAAGTCCAGGTTGTTTGAAGAGGCTGGCTACTACCTTCTTTCCAACGAATACAACACACGGTCATAATAGCTGTATTTGAGGCATCTGTGGGTCTAAATACACAGCTATAATGACCGTACGTTGTCTTCGGGGGAAGAAGGTACGAATATGACACGCGTGTCAGCACCTCCCCATTTGATCACCCCAAGGTATTTCCTACCCGGTCCCCTATGAGACACCCTCCTACCCTTACTCATCATCACGATCCCAGACACATCCCTACTCCCACGGTCCTACCTGAGGATACCGAGGAGCATCACCCATTCTTGTGACCTTCTGACCGGACAGGACACTCAACTCTTTGGGAGTCTATAGGTGAGTTGCCACGCAGTGAAACCACCCGTACACCCCGGGGCTGCATGTGCCTTGCTGCGCGCGCCACACTTTTCTGAACTGCCAGCGGCACACTTTTTTCCTTTTTTGGCTGGCGCCGCCAGCCGTTGTGGTCCAGCAGGCCAAGTCTCCGAAATTTTTGTAGGTGACAAGTTTCTTTTTCAGCAAGGAAGGGGCCGTGTCCTGACGAAAACAACCATGCAACCTCAACGTTTCCTTCACCGTTTTTATCCTCCCCGTTCAGACAAAGAGCTACATACGATGAATGTCTAAGTTGACAATTGCATGCATAGCGTGCATATTCTATTACTTAGTGGAAACACTTGCTTCCATATTTACGTTTTCTGTCCGTTCTCTGTGGCCCGTTGTTTGCAGTTAGTCTGGAACCCCCTGCAGTGCGGGTGGAAAAGACGTTTGGCCACAAAAAGAGGGCAAGTCGCGGCTGGAAAAGACGTTTGGCCACAAAAAGAGGGCAAGTCCCCCCCCCCCCCCCGAGGGCAAGTCATTTTGGAAAGTCGGAAAGTACTTTCGGGGGACCCCATCGCAGAGGACCAAATGCTCTTGGGAAACCCTTTGGAAATCAGTTGAGCCAATGATTGCCTGTTTCCATTGGCACTCGTTTGTTTTGTTCTTTTTTCTGTTTTTTTTTTTTTTTTTTTTTTTTTTGTGAGTGTGTGTGGCACTCTTCATCGCTATTGGCTGCTGCCTCCTGTGAGACCTTTCCAGGAACGACATGCACTCCTGTCTACCCTCTAGATTCGGCACAAAATTGCGGCAAGGAATCCTCCCGTGAGACTTTTCCAGGCCGCGGACTATGTGAAAACACAAAATGATGTTTTTCCAAGCCGCAATCTTCGGCCTGTGGGGTCCTGGAAAAGGGTTTGCGGAAGGAATTTAACCTTTTCCTGGACATTTGCAGCAGGCTGTGGGGTCCTGGAAACAGTTTTGCAGCAAAGTTTTTCCCTTGCGCGGTCCTGAGGGGGCCAACCCTTAATGTCTTTTTTCTTTTAACATCCTGCACCTTCCAGGTTGATCACTGTAAAAAAAAAAAAATTCCCCGTAGCATCTTCTTCAGATACAGTGCCTGTGCTGCTCTTTTTTTTTTTTTTTTTTTTTTTTTTGGGCTGCCTTTTCATCAACAGAAGGCTCTTTTTCTTCAACTCGGACTGCTTTGGGGGGCGCAACCCAAC